TCATTTGGTGCCCCAAACCTCATGCCTCAGCCGAAGGCTCATGCCATCTGTAATAAAGTTTCAATAAAAAGGAACACTGCATAGAATAACTGATATATAATGAGCAATTGCAAGTAGCTCCGTGTCATTGCTTAGAATAATAAAAATGTACCATTGTCACTGAGTTTATCAAAATATTCGTATTCACACAAGCATAGATTACACGTTATGCTACCATAGATTGCTTCCGAAGTATATGGCTACAGAGTGCACATTGCACAGTGTACGTCCTTCCAAAGCACCAACCTCCACCACCAATACCTGTTGACGCCGTATAACCCCGCTACAAGAGTCTCGCTTCTGATAGACCCCGCCCTCCCAATCAAATTGATATTCCTCATCTGTCAACTTGTTGGAGACGCACGACCAGCCGCAACTGGCGTACGGCTGATTGAGGAATGTTTTCATCCAGCCACAGCTAGATCCTTGGGGAATCGTCTGCGTAAGACAGATCAGTGATAGAAACTCTACGGATTAGTGGAGAAAATATTGGGTGCACTTATGTGGCTGGGTGATGAGGGTAATGAGGTAATTATTGGTTGCTTTCTGCTGAACGTTGAAATTGATTGCTAGGTGCAATATGCATACATTTCAGCAAAGTGAAGAAGAAGGAAAGGAAAAGTAAAATGTGTGGTAAATTAACATATATTTGTATTGTCCACTGTGCATGCTTGATATTTCATTGCGGCAGATATCCACAACTTCAACAACAAAAAACTTTATGAATCATTCATATGTCAAAGCCAGCGTATCTGCAAGCTTGTGTTTGCAGCACCCTCAAATCATTAGCAGGAGCAACGGGTTATTGATGAAGCAGTCTCAATCCTTGTTGTAAGGTAGAACTGCATGCGTCGTGTGTGTGCGTCACAAGCTGGGGCATTCCACGATAGATCGAACCAGGCCCGTCACCCTCATCTCTCAGATTTGAATGAAAATCGGTCCTAGGGGTAATCATAGGCCCCAAAGACGCCTGGCAAAATATCAGGCTTCTCAGATCAAAACTTTTTGAGTTATATTGCATTACATTTTTTTAACTTCGGTATGTAACGGTGAGTTTGATGGCCTATAACTCAAGAACGGGTTAAGCAACCAATAAAAAGTAAACATAAAACAACACTAAGCTTGCGATGAATCAAAAATTAATATTACTATTTAAAAATTCCAAAGAAAAAATTTCATTGTTGAGCAAAAACCTTAATCTTTTTTCATTTGCCTCTAATGACTTTTGGGACCAAAATTTTTCACATTTTTATTTTTTTCAAAATAATCTTCATGTCATTGCAAATCGACATGCAAAAAATTAGAAAGGTGTTCTTTCCATAAGTTCCTCATTTTCCCGCAAACAAAATGGGTTTCGGAGGGGTTGATACGACCCCAGCACGCCGTTTCGCTTCTAATAGAGCTAGAGCCTCGCGGAAAAAACGAGCGTGTGTGCCGTTACAAGTCGCAGCGATTGGTACCCGATTTTAAGGTCTCAGGTTAATCGGTAGCGTCTGAGGTCAGGTCACGTGATTGAAGTTACGGGTTCGGTTTTTCGTAAATAACTTCGCAAAAAATGGCCGCAGAGCCGCGATGTTGGCGTCATTGTGTTCGCCTAGCTCAGGTGCATCGAATGGTATACTTTTTACTAGGGTGAGGTAAACTTAAGTAGTTTACCTCGGGTCAAGGTCAGGTCAGAGCCCCTCAGGTCACGAAAGTGGGCAAATGGTATCATATGGCATATCATTCGATTTGGAAGGTCTTCCCGAGTCCATTGGTGGCTTTCCCAACTCTCTAGCTCCATTTGATCGGGAGTTATTGACGAAAAACTCGTACGACCCAAGTGACGTCATAAATGACGTCACGCAAGGTTAACAATGCAAAAGTAAAGCATTGGACTTTGCAAGGAGTGCATGAAATCACGATACCATGTACGTGGGATAGTTTAAGATCATTATCGGCGCCAAAATAAAGTTTTTATATTTCCCCATTGATTTATAACAGTGATGTCACGTGACCGACCTGACCTCATGTAACCTTGAAAAATTACCAGATATACAAGTTGTGAGACCTCTGGAGGACACCATGTATGCGTCCTGTAACTTTCATCTCGGACAGCTATGGTCATTGGCGTCCAAAACAATGTCAGAACCAAACAGCCTTTTTCACCCTCGCGCTTATAGGAAAGAGGGTTGAATGAACCCTCTTTTCACTTTTTTCAGATGACTCAGACTTGAATTGAAATTTCAGTAACCCGTGATGTCACTAGGCAGCTTTACCACGCCATTTGTAAGCTCCCCTCCCGAAATCACTATTCGAAACCGTTATCGTGACGTAAAATAAATACATTTATAGAAAGAACACCTTCCTAATTTTTTGCATACTTCTTAACAATGAGCCAAATATTTTTTTAAGGAAATAAAAAGTCAAAAAAATTTGGTCCCAAAGTCCAAAAAATACAAATGAAAGAAAACTCGATATGTCATATATCAAAAATAGCGTATTTTTTGAAATTTCAAAAATACATATTAATCTCTGTTTCATTGCAAGTTCAATGTTATATAACATTTGGCATTTGAATAATCCGTCTTAGAGTCACAGCCCGCCAAACTTAGCGCTGCAATTCAAGATCCAAAAAATGTTAATTGTTATACACCATAACTCAAAAAATACTTATCTGATAAGCCTGAAATTGTTACAGGTGGATTCAGAGCCCTTGATTACCCCTGAGACCAATTCTCGTCAAATTCCGAGAGATGAGGGTGTCAAATTGGAAAAAAGTGGTACGATCTATCGTGGAATGCCCCAGCTGACACAACTTTTCAGCCTAATAACCATCTTGTCCAGCTACTGCGAAGCAAACTAACCTTTTAATTTAATTCCACGTAGCCCAGAACTGCTTTGCGTAACTCAGCTTTCGACAAGGTTTGTTTCAAGAGTGACCTAATCCTGTGTGACATAACCCCATGCAACGCATTGCAGTATTACGCAACAGGCAAGGCGTAAAAATGTGAAGTAACGCCCACTGACAAACTTTCGTGCGTTTCATAACCCATGTACGGTTTTCAGGCACCCCTCGTACCCAGAAGTGAAGCCGATTTATTATGAAATTCGTTCAATGGTCGACTCAAGGTACCCGTGAACCCAAGCAATGTGGCATGTGTTATATAGTATGTTGTTTAGGCGATGTGAACTGTGTTTTAGGCTCCCTCCGCATCCAGGCTGGACCAGCAGCGGCTTAGAGAAAATAGATGGCATTTAGGGCGTAGTTTACACCAAGCATGAGTGAGACAGAGAGATAAACCTGATGTGGGAGTTTTGTGGTATGAAGACTTCAGCACTTGGGAGATGTTTGTGAAAGGCATGCATCAGTCACTTGGACCCTTTGTATGCTTTATAATTAGTTTTAAAAGTAATTTTGTGAGAAAGCCAATAGCTAGTAAATAAGTAACTAACATTAGTCAATCGGTACGAAAACGAAATAATTAGACATTAGTGGAATGCAAGTGAACCCTAATTGCATTCTACGATGTGTTGTGAAGCGTTTTGAGAATTTTTCGGGCATTTGTTAGAACTAGCAGCTATAAATGTATTTGAGCATGAGCGAAGCTTTCATAAGCAAGCGAACAATCTTTCAGTTGTCTCGCTTTTGGCCAAACGGACTTTTTGTGATGCGTATTATCACGGGCTTTTTGATGGGCGGTATAAGATTCCGATCAAGTTTCAAAAGGCAATATATCTCATGCCTGCCACAAGTCTTCTTCAAAACTTTGGTGGTGGTGTAGTTTTAATTGTGAGACGTCAATTATTTTTTAAAAATAAATTTGTGACTAAATATCGAATTATTACAAATTTACTGGAAGCCATATGAAGTTTCTTGGGTTACACCATACCAGCAAGGGGCAAATGATTTAAAAAATAAAATGGTTTCAAAATATCTAAAGATGCAGTTAGTACAGTCTTGGATTGAAAAGAAGTCATGTAAAAGAAGTCATGGATATTGTTGAAATTTGCAATATATGTAAAGCTTTCGCAATGAAGAACCAATATTTGCCAATGTGATTACAGCCACTTTTCCAATTGTGATCTTGCTGGAACGCGCTGGTGCTTCCTAGACTGCGCCGATCACAGTGCGCCAATGCACGTCACGGAGTGGCTATTCCTGCCCCGTAGAGCGCCGTGGCTTAATTACCAATTGATTACGGTCGTCCGGCAAAAAGGCTAACTCAATTAGGACGCCAATCTATTTTCCATGCCGTGTGTGTGAGGTCTGATTCGAGCGTGGATCGGTGTGCAGAGTGCTGGAGCAGGGAAAGAGAAGGAGGGAAGGAGGCAGAGGGGAAGAGAGACGGGCAGATAGAGGACAGAGAAGAGAAGAAAGGGAGGGGAGAGAGAGAGAGAGAGAGAGAGAGAGAGAGAGAGAGAGAGAGAGAGAGAGAGAGAGAGAGAGAGAGAGAGAGAGAGAGAGAGAGAGAGAGAGAGAGAGAGAGAGAGAGAGAGAGAAGGGAGGGGTTAAAACAAGCAAATAGAAAGGCAGGCAGAGAAGAAATAGAGAGGTAGAGAAACAGAAAGGGAGATAGGGAGAAGAGCGAATGAAAAGAGACAGACAGAGACGTAAGACAGAGAAGTAAGATGGGGAGAGATCACGAGCGCTCCTGCGGCTGTTTCGGACGGCATAATCGCAGGCAGCGCCAGCGTCTCTCAGACTGCCTGTAGGTAGGCTGTGCCGCAGCACATCGGCGCCCGGCGGCGCAGTCTACCTGTTGCGGCGTCAGCGTATTGTCGAGGAGGAATTGAGTAAGACAGGTGCCCAAGTTAACTTCAGATGAAAAGGAAGGTGTCATTTCACTCATGTGAAGTTTTAAGTGGCTGAAAGTCGTCAGAAAGTTTTTTTTTGTCCCAATATATCTTCGGGAAGTGCGAGTATTCGAAATTCGAATTGTTTATCTGTCCATCAAAGCTGAAAACTAAGAGAAATGTCCATGATAAATTAGGGATAAGTAACGATTGCATGGCTTGTACCCGCGGAAGTGTGATCTGAGTCCCTCACACTGACCCTGACTGACCTGACCCTGCTGCCAGGTCAATATCGTCCTACTATCGGTCGGCGGAACAAGAGAAAGACTACATCTGCACTATGGCCAAGGATAACGGCCTGCACACGTGCGAAAACCTGCCGCCCACAAAAATCGGCGGTAAGAAGCGGCAATAGAGGCTAGCTCAATGGTCATCAGTCAATGGTCATCTTACTTTCTTTGCGCTTATGTGTCCACGTGTTTTATCTTATTGCTCTATGTTTCATTATTAATCCTTTTTTCACTGTTTGGCATAGCAGTGTTCTTAGGCATGAGATTCTTATATTTTTCATCTCCATCACTTATGATATTCTCAGGATGTCACTTAGCATTAGTGGTGTTAATTTATAATATCCCATTGATGCCCATGGTGCAGCTCACTGCACCATAATTGAGACTAACCAGAACCAGGTTGAAGCAGCTGTTGGACAAGCCATCGTGACCTTTTGCCTCGGCCAGCGTGGCAGGGAGACCATCACTATGCATAGAAACACCATCGGAATAGTTAGCGGTTTCTCAGTAAGCTTGTCCGCTGATGTGTCCAAGAATTTCAACCGGATCACAGGAGGTTTCCCGGCTAACTAATTACTAACAAATAATTTATTGGTATTGATGGTTTAAATCCCATTGATACTTAAGTTTGTAAGTAGTTGACCATGGGAACGTGTGGCAGGTATGATGATGTATGCATTAGGTGCAAATTGCTGCAGTTAGTTGTTGCTAGACATCATTTATCATTCGTGCGGACGAAAAGTCGGCATTATAAATGACATAACGCCGACAGCTGTACCGACATAACTAACACAAAACATTGCTGACAGCTTTGCAAAAACCAAAAAGCCCACCGACGAAAAATTATTCACCCAATCAACAAACAAAAGACAAAAATGCAACAATTTTATGTCCGCCTATTCACTCAAATTACAAGCATCTTAAAGCATTCCCCAGTCCTTCGATTTCTCTTATTTCTTTGTGCCCATCTCGTGATCATACTTCTATCCCACTACCATCCGAAGCAACAGCGCTGCAGGTCTGCCGTCGAAACATTCGCACACACCTGTACGACTGAACCTCAGGGGACGACCAGCCCCGACCGACGCCGTCGGTCTCGACGAAATCGATGTACCGTCCGATGACTGGGACGTCGAATCCAATAATCGTTGGGGAGCGCATCTGGACAGTCGGGACCCTGTGACCGATTGGTTTGGGAATGACTAAAGAGTTGAAGACGGTGGGGAAGTTGATTGGGAAGGCTGGGGAAAGTGTGGGGAGGACTCAGGAGTGGTTGGGAATGTGAAAGGAGTGGCAAAGTGTTTGGAGAAGATTGTGAAAGGTTGAGGAGGCTAGAAGAGGCTGAAAAAGACTGGAAAGAGATTGGGGCAGGTGGAGGATTTGTATGGGGAAAATTGGGGAGGGCGGTTTACAAGTATTTGCAAGGTGGTTTGGTTGACGAGTGGTTGAGGCTGGTAATGTAAGGAGCTCACTGGAACTTTGTGGGAAGTGGTCAGAAAGAGCTAAGAACAAGATCAAACTTCGAGGAAAAGTTGTTTGAGTAGATTGGAGGGGTGGTCAAGGAGTTATTCGAAGAGAGGCGAAAAAAGCGGCGGGACCCGCATGTACAGTTGGTGGTAAGCAAACAGTCTTTCGAGAGTGTATAAACCTTCGAAGAGTGGACAGGAAAATGAAGGCTTCTGGGATTTACATATTATTTGACCCAGGCGTTCCAGCATCTATCCTCATTCCGCACACCCGCTGCAGTGTTGTTGCACGAGCCATGACTGTTTCGGCGAAAGGTCCCCGCAGAAGTGTCTGCGGCACGCGAGGCTCCCATTAGAAAAAGAAACAGGTCGGTGTGTCTGATGGTGCCAGTCACACTCGCTATGATCACGTGATGTTGCGAATAAGCCGGACAGTCACACGCCCTGTAATCACATAATATGAGGTCCGTAATAACCTGTCCGTCATGGGGTGAGGCGGGCAAATATTCTTGGTCATGAAGGGGAAGACAAAGAAAAATAAGCAGGATTTATATAAACGATAATATAATGCATTGATAAATTTTTAGTGATGTGTTAATTATATTCACTTTTCGAGAGCCAAGTTGCCAAGATCGGTCAACAACCTTGCCGATTACCAAGCTTTGTTACTGACCATACAAAACCAATGGAGTGCAACACTATCTTTTAGTGCCCATGTCTGAGGTTCATGCCTTATTCCCTTCTCATTAGGCCTCCTAGGCCATCTTTAGATGGCATTTATTCGTCAAATATGAACACCACCCCCACAAGAAGCGCCTAAGAAGACAATAAAACAATAAACTACGTCTCTCATCCGACGGTAGAGCGTTTCAAACAACCTCGATGATATCCGAACCCGAGAAAAACGCCTGATGACTGTCATAAAATCTCCGAAATCGTTCAACTGCTCGTGTTCGTGAAAGATACTGCGGGCGAAGATGAACGTTATCGCCAAAGAGCACGAGCAAAATGACTGTCCGAAGACGTTAGCAACATGTGCGATGGGACCGGAACGGTTTTGATAAATTGTGGAGACCGAAATACGGGCTTTAAAGAAACTGAAGGATGGTGGATGACATTCTGACAAAACTATGATGTTAAGGTTTGTTATTAAATAAACATGCATAATGCATATTTTAGTTCCGAAACATATATGTTGTGGTGGCGGGTGACGACGTTGCATCGCTTAATCTTGCTTGCAGTCAAGGGATATCAGTAACATTATTTGAAACTGTCCGCTTTTTTGTTCTTCTCAATGTGAAAGGGAACGTGAACTATTATCGCATTAAATGTTTTCATTATCTGCCAATAATTCAACGGGAAATCGATTAATTAATTTCTTTGAAATGAGTGTGGCAAATAAAACTCTCGCAGAGTCGTTTACAAAGTAGAATTGCAGACAACTTAAAGTCGTAACATGAAGTCCTTCGAAGCGGAAACTTGCAATTTTTCATTAGTTTAGAGTGGAAAAGTCAGCAATACTCGTTGTCGTCATGGCAGTGTGCTATTTTCGTACACCATCAGCCGGCTTAGATTCCATTCCTCCACAGTTGAGGCAGCAGCCATGAAGATCTAGTCTTATATTATACGTCAGATCGTCGCGCGATGTCGCCCGTAAATCCTTCCCAGCTGAAATTCAGTCATCGTCAGAATCCTTCAAACTGGCTCCTCTCGTTATCAACTGAGAACCATGAAAATGTCTGAGTATAATCATGAAAGTTAGTAACTGATTTAGTTGCTGACTTGAACTGATTGAAGATTGTAAAGGCTGGAAATAGTTATTTCAAAACTTAGAAGAATGTTATGGGGGTGATTTACTGGGAGTGTCTGCTATTTGGTTTAAGAAATTGTTTGTGAAAACTATGAACAACTGTCGCTTAGTTATCTGTCAATTTTATTTTTTAAATGCACCAAATCATCCATTTCCCATGCTCAGACATCATATCCCTCATGTCCGACCCCAACTTTTTCACACATGTACCTACAACTTTATTAGAACACATGTGTAGTCAGCTTCGCTTAACGCACTTCTTACATCATGTGGTTTCTTTTCGGCATATAATGAATTAATTTTGAATCTCTTCTCCATTTTTCCCTTTTCTCCTTCTCTCCCGAGTAAGTCCTGCATCAGGTGGCCTCCATCTGGCATATGAATGATTTTTCAACTCCTTTTCTACCGCAGATCTGGAGTGCACAGAGCCGGCCCGACCCAACAGTCCCAACTTACCGACAAACACCTCGTGTGTCAACTGGAACCAGTACTACACAGAGTGTCGTGCCGGGGACAAAAACCCCTTCCAGGGCGCCATGTCGTTCGACAACATCGGCCTCGCCTGGGTCGCCATCTTCCTGGTGAGATTTTCAGCGAGTTCGTGGATAAGTTGGATAGATTGTAGTTTGTTGCTCATTGCTGGTGATTGAGAATTTTTTCGACATGAGACACAGTCGTCGCACTAACAGTATATCAGCGCAGGGCGGTGCCGCCATCTGCAGCCTCTACACCGTAGATGTTTTGCAACATAAATTTGTCTGTTCCGTGAACTAACTGTTTGTTCTCTTAGTAAAGTTATCAGCTTGCATCGATATCAAATGTGTTGTCATATTTGCATCTTAGCTGTATGCGCCTGTATCCATGTTGCTTTTTGGATAACATTCAATCTTTATTTTTATCGGTCTTTACATAATTGACACAAACTGCGCATTTAAAGCAATGACAAGAGGCAATCTAGGGAATCATAGCTTTCAACTTCATTGTAAACTTTCATTCGCCGAACACATAAAACGAACACCTGTCCCTTTGACCACTTCACCCTGCCCCTCGCCTGCACCCTTGTAGCACCTGTAGATCCGTGTTCACTAGTCAAGTAAATGCGGTGTTGTATGTTTTCAGGTAATTAGTTTAGAAGGTTGGACAGACATCATGTACTACATACAAGATGCCCACAGCTTCTGGGACTTCATCTACTTCGTACTACTCATTGTCGTAAGTTGTTTACATCAATCGGCAGGAGTTTGCTCGGAGTTTGCAATCATTCCAGGAAAATAATGCAAGCTTTCAGCTACGATAATTCCACGGATTTGTTTCTTTGGGTGGTTTGTTGTTAATCAGTGGGGTATGAGTGTGATGATATATTTGGTGCGCCCTCCCCTACCCGACACTTATCCCTAAGTTATCGATGCCATCAATTGATTTCTACATCAATTACTGTGATGCGATTGTCCGTAAGTGACATCCTCAAGTACGAGACATCCTAGCGCAGTCCGTGGCCAAATTGCGTTCTCGTGTCGCTCATTATGTGGTCTGACAGCCGAAAAACTGACCCATTTTGTGCCGTCTTGGAAGAATGACAGCAATGACGTAGGTTTAATGATTGGGAACGTGTGTCATATTTCCCGTTGGTTAGACTCGTTCAGATTGTATTGCTTTTGCTTTCAGATGTTTAATGTATTCACTGTCTGTTTTAGCATTTGTTGTGCTTAGACTCTCAATAGCATGGTAACACGAAGAAATTCAGACATGCATACCATGCCCACTTTACAACGCAATGTGCTTACTATACTCTGTTCCGTTTCAAGTTTGCAGCCGAAGTGCCCTGCTGAAAGCAGTGCGTGATTTCTGTATATACAGCTCTTACATTTTAAGACGCGAATTCTTGAGCGGAGGAGCGATCTGCCGAAGAAATTCCAACTGCAAGCTTGATATGGAACAGACTATAGCTTCGGTATCTTAAACAGGTATTTTCCACGCAAGCATTAAAACAGTCCCAGGACCTTGAACTGCGTTATACAGTTACACAGGAAAAGCGCATTCCACTTTTATTTTTGTATCTGCGACTGAAGAAGCTACGGTCAAATCAGTGCTTCCAGCAAACGCATCATTAGGCTCAGCTTGCTCGGACTTAGGTACAAGACTTACTGCCGTTACATTGCTTCGATCAATAGTCCACAAATAGTTTACCCTAGATGCTCTGCAGTCAGGGGGTCGTGCAACGTACACGGGTCCCATCAAGATAAGACGGTGCTTCAAATCACATTACGAGTATTGACGTTGCGATGTTAGTGCCAAATTGAGTATACCTGGGAGGCGGTGCTGGTAATGAAATTATCGAGCGGTGTCAGTTTGAAATGTCAGCGGCAATCAATTGATGGATGAACAGTGGATCTGTCAATAGACAATGACTCGCTAACATGTGCCGAATTGAGGACAAGCGAGTCGTCGGCAGATACGACCTTTGTCGAATAAGGCCGTCCTTATAAGGTCTCGTGATGGATTCAATCCGAGGTCTCCTCAATTTTCCGACCCATCACATGCAGTCTAGGGTGTGTCGACCACAAAGAATCAAGTGGAGACAGTTATATTTTATGGCCCAATAGCATGGCAAGACGATTGCTTCGAAAATTACCAGTCAAAAATGAGAAACTGAGTCCCGCGAGGCAAAATTGTTCGCCGACTTGGTCCCTTTCTGGCGATACTAGCGCCCCCAGCTTATACAGTAGCGGCCGTTCCGAAAGCTTTAGTTACATAGGTGGCGCCATAGTCGACTAGGCATTAGGCAATGCAGGCGCACACGAACGATTCTGACAGGATGCTGATTTGCTTGTTGCTAGAAGCGATATAACAGTGTAAGACGCGTGTGGTGGAATAGGCACTACGAAAGTTTGTCAAATACGCACGTTGCACAGTCAGCTTAGCGGGTTATTTAACTGAAAAAATCAAATGCAAGTTTGCGCAATATAATGCAGTTTGACAATTAAGCACAGTTGGATCATGGATGGTGGTACCTATACGGTAAGCCTTGGTGCTGCAGCGTGTAGTCATGATGACGAGCTTATGTCAGCACATCTCGCTTGGAGTTGAATACGGGAATGATTTTGCGGTGTTTGAAGCTTGCCGTGATATGGCCGTACCGCGCCTCATCGCCCACAACTCGTGAGCTGGCCAGTAACGTAGCGAAGGGGGCCCTAGTATGGCCTAATGGTCCCTAGGGACCCTCCTTGGGCCTTCCATGGGCCCCTGTCCCCGAAGCTGACGGCAGGACCCTTCGAAGTTTCAAAAGTTCCGGGTTGGGCTGTTTCAAATCGGGACCCCACATGTACCTAGGTATGGGGGCTTTACCTACGTATACCCTACCCAATTTTTTTAGGGCGAACTTCACCCACTTTATTTTTGATCGGCCTCTTTTTCAATTTTTATTTTATATTTATTTCTTATAGTTTGGTTGAAGTCCAAGGGACCCTCTTCAGAGCTAGTGAAGAGGCCCAGTGGTGACTGCCCACTACTGAAAGCCCACCCCATTTATCAGGACACTCACACATCCATTACATTCATAACATTCATACACGTTTGGGGAAAGTGTCCAAGTCCACTGGGGCAGGTTAGTTAGAGGGGAATTCACAGTCATAGCCAAGTCATCATCAAACTCAGGTCAGATTCAGTTCAGCGTATGTCAGCAGCAAGGTAGCCCGGGCTCCCAGAGCACCCAACGAAGCGAGGCTTGTTGTCGGGCGCTCCAAGCTGCCCTATGAGGTGAGCTCATGACATGATGGGGTTCTCTGACTAACATCTGAAGGGTCCTCTGTTAGTGTAAAAGAACCGTTATTTGCGCGAGGGGCCTTTTTTGGACCGAGAGGGCCTTCCGTCAGCCTGAGGGGCTCTTTGTTCGTCCAAGGGGTCTTACATCAATCGGGGGGCGGCGTTTCCCCACCTGGGGAGGTCCTCTATCGACTTGAGGGCCTCTGTCAGTCTCAGGGTCTCTCTCCCGACCTGGGACCCAACACAAAATGTTGTTTTAGATTGGGTTTTCGGCATCGGAGATCAGCTGTGCCGCACTTATGCCATAAGACACGCAAAACGGCACCCTTTTTCCACATATATCCCTCACACAGAACGAATATTGTACCCAATATTTGTTTATTGCGTGCTTCTGCTAACGCAATAAATTCGTTTAGAAGAAGGTAATTAAAATAGAAAGTAGGATATTTACCAGTTGCATTAACCTCGCTGGTACAGGGCGTTGATGCAACCCCCTAAGGTTTTTTCGCAAATAACTCGCGTAAAAAGCTGCCGATTGCAACGAAACTTTCAGTACCCTCGCATTATTCAATTTTACACCTAACCTGAAAATTTCATGACCCTGACCCAAATGACCTTTGACCTGTGACCTCTTTTCCGAGACCATGTTTGCCCGGAATCGCGATTCGGCGTATGTCGGCTCGCATTAGCCGCGCGTTTGCAAGCTTTTCGTGGTTTCAAACGTTCAAACATGTGATTTGATGCTGCTCCCATACATTAGGGTGGGTGTCAAGGTCACCTGAAGGGCAGGTCAGGTCATTGACCTTTGGTGACCTCGGGTGACCTCGGTTCACTTTTTCGAGTTTTACATGATTCTAGGCTAGTTTTTGGAGCTGAATTGGAATTTAGCAACCATTTGAACATTTACAAAGTAGTTTTGGTGCCTTCGTAACATGTTATGAAGCTGTCAGAGGCGGTTGACACGTATTACGAATACCCGTCACAACCCCTACCGGTTGACCTGACCTGACCTGACCCGACCTGGTCTAAATGCTTAAATACATCATCTCTGATCAAAACTAACACGATATTCGTGATCAGCACCCCGTAAAACCACATAGAAGCCAAACTTCACGACTTTCTAACAGGTCCCGATTTTCCCGGTTTTCGGGTCATTGACCTGACCTGGAAGGTCACCCGATGACTTAGGACCTTAAAATTGGGTATCATCGGCTTCCTCTCGTGACGGGCAACACGCTCGTTTTTTCCGCGAAGGTCTAGCTCGATCAGGGGCCAAACGCGAGGGCGTCAACTATCAGTCACATCAAAAATACGGTTGTCCTAGGTGGCGCCACCAACAAAAACCGTCATTACAGATGTCGCTGGGGTAGATTAGGTCGGTTCGGGCCCATCCGCCAAAAATCGTTCGCGGCACTCAATTAACGCATGCTAAGTGTTCTGGTGCTAATAAATCAATTTCATAATACCATAGGCCATAAAAAATCGCTGTCTCCTCAAGATCAAAGAGAAAAACCCTTAGTATGACACACCCTACCGGGCATGCAGCAGAGCATCACAATGCATCACAATACCTACCAGCACACAACACACAAGATTATTAACAATAGGTAGCAAGCACACGCAGAACATTATTCACCAAACAACATAACCAGTGTAATCATCAGAACGTGGCGTAACTAGTTGACGATCCTCTCTCCTGCAGATTGGCGCCTTCTTCATGATCAACCTCTGCCTTGTCGTCATCGCCACGCAGTTCTCAGAGACGAAGAAGCGAGAAACAGAACGAATGCGGCTAGAACGTGCCCGATTCCAGAGCACCTCCACTCTGGGGAGCTCTCTGGAGAACGCTGGCTGCTACGCTGAAATCCTGCGCTACGTCGCTCACCTTTGGAGAAGACTACGAAGGAAACTGCGCTACCGCTGGCGACGAATAAGGCGCAAGCCTCCGTCGCGCTTTAGTCTGCGTCGGCGACGACGCGGTGATTACGGACAGGAGTGTAGTCATGATCACCCTCGACGGGACTATCGTCGCGGGCGAGCGGTGCGTGGTGAAGACCCAGAGAGTGGGCGCAACAATAATAACTTTTTCTGTGATAGGAAGGTGGATGAGTGGGCACCTCAGGCCAGTCCGGAGGTTTCTGATGTGGACCCGCTGTCCACGCCGCGTAGGCCGGATGGGGAGATGCCTACGGGGTCGGGTGCGTTGGTGCCTGTGGGACTGGGTGAACCGGATAGTTCGGACTGCGAGCGTGGTCTGGATAGTCATCTGCTCCCTCCGGGGATTCTCTGCAGTCGTCTGTCGCCTGACACGGGCCGGCCGCCCGAGAGACGAGCCAAGAGTGTCAGCTACGACGTCAACAAGCCAGTCATCATACCCATCCAGAGGTTGGCCGCAGGTGGTGAAGGCGATGTCGTAGAGACTGTCCCACCGCAGTTGCGGGCGGAACTATCGCGGGCCGAGTCACAGCTGCGAAAATTGCGGAGCTCTGTGTTCCCTCGCGTGTGCCGTTCGGCCGATCGTGGTCCTCTCAGCTGCACTGAACTCCTTGCGATCAGTGGAGCGTTGAGTGCAGCTCTACCCGCGCAGTTAGCGCAAGTACCTCTACGACATTCGAGTCAGCAGCTCCCTTCCGCGCTGGCAGGAGTCACGGGAGGGCCGGTAACTACTCGACAGCTCTCTGAACCAGCGCTACCGGGACTCGGGTCTCCGCCACTAGACTCTGCGCGAACTGCGAGTGACGCGAGCTGGAGTGGCGACTCGGAGGATTCGTGTTCCTCCGATGAGGAGGACTACTCCGATGAGGACTGCGAGGAATACTGGTCGGAGTATGAGGATGACGAACCTCGCACGCCACGATGTCCTCGAGTTCGCGCAGTTCTGAGGTGGATTCGCGCGAGTGTCAAACGCTTCATCGAACACTCATACACACAGAAGGGCATTCTTCTAGCGATCATGATCAACACACTGAGCATGGGTGTTGAGTACCACAACCAGCCGCCATGGCTGACCACGCTGGTAGAGACGAGCAATATCGTGTTCTCGGCGGTGTTTGCGCTGGAGATGATGCTGAAGTTGATCGCGGACGGGTTCTACGGCTACATCCGCAACGGCTTCAACGTATTCGACGGCCTGATCGTCATCATCAGGTGAGTCCGCTCTGAAGAGCGAAAAGTCGAGAGGGGATAGAGGACGTAACAACTAACATTTTAAAATTCCTCATTACCGTCATATGCCATGTCCAGTTAAAACGACCATTTTGGTTCTATCTCGTATTGTAATTGATACATTCGCTTATTCGCAAGTTGCGCAGTGAGTATCGTTGGCTGTGTCTTCTCTTTGCAGGTCTGCATGTGCGATGCTCTTGCCTCCGATCGCTCTAAGCAAAAAAAAAAAAATAGACGTCTTACTGGTGTGCAATGTGCGTGTGTTTTTCTGTTGACAATTTTCTTCTTTTTACATATAGGTAGTTATGCGCGTCTGATTGTTTACACCTGCCTTTCTCCGCTGCGTCACATTACATTTTCTTACTCTGCCTCTGTGCCAAGACTGTCCCAGGGCAGTCCTCTTTTACTTTACCGTGGGACTGTGCCCGCTAGCCCAGCCCGCTCTTCTCCGAGATACAAAACCCCGGCTCTACAGGCCCTGTTGGCGCGTGATGGAGGGCCTGTCTGAACAGAAGGCTCGCAAGAGACACCGCCTCTCCCTCTCTCTCCCTCTCTCTCTCTCTCTCTCTCTCTCTCTCTCTCTCTCTCTCTCTCTTTTTCTCTCTTTCTCTCTTTCTCTCTCTCTCTCTCTCTCTCTCTCTCTCTCTCTCTCTCTCTCTCTCTCTCTCTCTCTCTCTCTCTCTCTCTCTCTCTCTCTCTCTCTCTCTCTCTCTCTCTCTCTCTCTTTTGTTTCTCTCTCGCTCACACACTGTGTCTTATGGCTCTCTTTTCGACCTCTCGTACACTCACATTTCTCATCCGTTTCTGCGTTGGGTCCGGCTCCAGACGGAAGAATAAGTGGTGATGAAAAATGAGCGGCGAACGGTCGTAAAGACTGATCAGTTTATGGTGTTGTCGAATCCCAGAGTGGTTTCTGAATGGCCGATCTATATCTCATTCGTTGGAGTAAATTTTACTCTTCACTATCATTGCCATTTTCACTAAGACTGTTATTTTATCGCGAACTCTTTTGAATGTTAAAGAATCTTTTCAGGCGTGCCCATTGTCGATTATATCTGTTCCAGTGCCGTGTCTTTGTGTGTAACTCTCAGCTTTGCAGCCTGTTTGTAGGCTGTGGATACTATTGACGCCGCCTGTTTCAGCATCGTGGACGTGAATTTGTGCACAAATAGCTGCACTCCTTATTCCATGCGCAAGCTGCCTTCACTATTGACCACCCCTCCTGTTTCAATACCGTGGACGGAAGAGCTATAAAAAAAACAGAGCCCCTGTCTATGTATGTCGTTAGAGCCCTGACTCTAACGATAGAACGTCCTTACTGTTGACTGCTACCACTTGTTTCAGTGCCGTGGACCTGTACAAATCCCAGTTCAGCACCACTGGTAGCGAGGGCGGGTCCAGTCTCTCCGTGCTGAGAACTTTCCGACTACTTCGCATCCTGAAGCTGGTCCGTTTTCTACCAAATCTGCGACGTCAACTCCTGGTCATGTTGAAAACAATGGACAACGTCGCCATCTTCTTCTCGCTTCTCATTCTCTTCATTTTCATCTTCAGGTACGGTTGCACTGCCTGTGCTTGTTAGTGTGTGATGGGATGTACGCGCGAGTATAGTGCTGCTTTCTTATTGTCAGAGCTATCCCGTCTCTCCCGTCGGCTACTGTACGCTGAGGGCTTGTGTTTAAAAATGATGCACTTGTTTGTTTTGAAATGTAATGATACCATGTTCCACTACATACATGCGACGAGCATTTGACATACCCAAAACATTAATTTTTCAATTATGCTCTTTCAAAAAAGTTAATTTCAATATCCAGTGTATCAGCGTTTCGATCAGGTACAATTGGTTTAGGGCCGCACACAGTTAGCACCACAAAACGTTAGATTCCTCTTTGCACTTACAAGTCTCTCGGGGTGACATGCTCTCTCACTCACTCTATCTCCATCTCTCTTTTTCACCTCCCTGCTCTTTCTCCCTCTCTCTCCTCACTTTGTGTGCCCCGGTCCCTCTGCCTCTTGGAGAGTTTGTTAGCTCTTTTGCTCAAATTCTCACACCTCCGTGGGTTCACCCTATACCATTGTCCGTCTAACCACCACCACGCATGTGTGACTTTTCCCCATTTCACTGCTTCATCCCCAATAACAGACGTGTGCCACATGTGACCACGTGATCTGAGGTCATGTGACCACCGGAGGTCACATGACCTGGACGAGGGTCAATAGAGATGCTAGTTTTTACCACATTTTAGACCACGTTATCGCATTTTGAGGATTTTCTCATCAGCACATATGCTTGAGCGTACAACGGCACTTTGTAAATTGATTTGCGCTATGTTTTTACTTATTTAAGACGTGTGTTAATAAGTTACTGCTAGGGGAACAACCGATCGCGCGCTTTTATCAAAATGCTTGGCGCGCGCTATGTCCACCTTTTTTGGACATCTTGCACTATCGCTGCTTTGCTGAGCACGAAAAAATAATTGAATATTGAACTAGGGATGGACGGTAAAATTTAATACTAAAAAGAATTGGATCAAGAGTTGTCAAACTCCATGCAGCGTTGCAAAAAGCGTTATCAGGTGGTATCTAAATTATTGCAACAGGCAGACGCAAAGGCCCAAAAACTAGACATGAGCTCAAGAGTCAAGGCCTTGGCATAACGGAATGCTAATAATAATGCCGTCTGACTCGAGATATTCCTGCCTTCACTTCGTCTAAAAATAAATCGACACTTATTATCTCATCCGCTCTCCGAAGTTCCTCATCTTGGCTTTTATGGACGACTCGCAATTCTTCCTAAACGCAATATTCTCATAACCTCTCGGGACGTTTTCATGCTCGAGTATTTCTTCAGTGCATTTCTTGTTGCCACACTTCTCGGCAATAATCAACTTAAAAATTCTGGAGCTACATATATCACTGACAATGGTTGAGGCGTTTTCAGCCTGCATCATGCATACTGTTGTTTAAAGGATGGATATTCCTTATCGACGACATGATTTTCTTCTTCCTTCGGGACAACAGCTCTCTGTCAGCATTTAAAAAGAGAAGTGAGCTCTCTTCGGTAATTCTGTCTGCATAAGCATAATCAATACGGCGGCGAAGGACTGTAAAATCTGCATTGCAAAGAGGAAATAGAATTACAGATGCAAGAAAACAAATGAAAGTTGTCAGCATCGTGCATGATAAGACCACGGTTTTGGTTTGAAATATATCTATCGTGTGTTAAGTTTGAGGCCGTTCTGATATTCAGAAACAAAACATTGTTTTTAGCATACGAGTACATCACTATCACTATCACTATCATTATAATCATTATGTACATCACTAATCATTATAAAGGTTCCCGAATGAAAAGCTCGTCATTTCCCCTACACAAAATTATAAGGTATTGCTGTCAAATATAGTTCTAAGTATTAATTATATTGCATAATGGTTGATAGTTGCCAAGGCATTATTGATGGCATATTGTTCGTAAAAAGAAAACAGAATATTCAAAGCAGCATTGACATCACCTTTGTCATGACAACGTCAACAGTAGCCGTTGTAGTCACTGCAAGTTTTTTTTACACATCCATTAAAACGACTTTGCATTTCCGATTTCTGTTGCAGTATTCTGGGCATGAACCTGTTTGGGTGTAGGTTCTGTAGGAAAGACGACAAAGGCAAAACAAGCTGCGACCGAAAAAACTTCGACTCTTTGCTGTGGGCGTGCATCACAGTTTTCCAGGTACATTAAAAACGCCGGGCTCGAGCGACCTGCCGTTGGAACAATCCGGTCTTGACCGGTCTCGGAAAGGTTTAAAAATGACCAGTGCAGCCAGTCTGCTCTTGAAGAACAGCCAGTCCATGCATATGTGTCCTTCTGCTGGCTAAATCGTCCTCGAATTGTCCTCAAATCTTGTTGAAATTGAGCGAATCACTTCTTTTCCCATAAAAGAGGCGAGGTCATTAAGCCAAGTGGGAAAGTCACATCCCAAAATGGACTGTTCCTTCGACATTGCGTTCGTAGCTCGCCATGTAAATAGGCTCAGTCGTGCAGCACGCAGCTATGATACCGTAAATGCACTGGCTAAAGCGTGACGAATGTAAAGGCAGCGCTACAGCGCCACCAGCATGCACGTAAATGGAAAGACGCGCGTGGCAAAGCGGCTAGCAGTCGAGCTAAGCGAACAACAGGTAAGTTGCAGGCTATTGGTCACTGTTTCTATGCTGTCACCTGGATGCATGGTTGTTGCACGGTGCCTGTTCCTGTCTTGCATGATCTCTGTTTGCTGATTAGCATCCCCTAAACGAACATGTCACCCCTGCGAGCGTGAACAGATAATAAATCAGCCGTAAATCCAGCATCCGCGAACAACACACCAGTCGGTTTTGTCTAAAACGCGCCACTAATGCGCCCACCGAAACGGAAAATATGATGGCAAAATTTCATCTTCCCTGTGGGAAATTTAATCATGGAAATCAGCCCTATTTTCAACAAGTGAACGAAAGAAATATTTTCTCGGCAGAATCCCGAACCACATCGGCTTCCCAGTATGACGAGGGCATTGGCCTGGCTGTTTTGCGTTTAAAACTCGCTTCTGAGTGCCGCTGGGATGGAAACAAACTGCCATGTCGGAACCGCGGGCTGTTGTGAAAATTAGCCGTGGACAAAAAGAGTCCCAGCATGCGGCGTCTTTTTCCAGTCATGCAGTGAGTTTGAGCTAGCGGCGGTCGTTGGCAACAGAGCAGTTCAAACGAGAGTCTCGAGATCCGCAAGGCCGGTTCTGAATTGGCAATACACTGTCTTGATAGTGATCATACTTCAACTCAATGACGAAACTCCACAACAGAAATCATTCCAGACTTCCTATGGTAGTTTTCCACAAGTTCAAGGCCATTCTTCTCCTAGAGCAGACGAACTCACTCAAAGGTGAAGAGAGGAAGAAAAGAACGTACTGACATTTGCCACTTGACTCTGAATTTACAATATCTACCCAATAAAATAATTAAAAGGGACCAAGATTATGATCATACGAGGTGAAGATGAGATCCCACAAGACACGCATGACATATTGCCGCCTGCCAACCAGTACAAATACCTAGGCCAGTCGCGTCCATTTAATCGGCTACAAAGTGCATCCACTCAGCCTAGTGGCCGCGGACCAGCCCCAGGGCGGACACCATTTATTTCCCGTGACAATAGAACACGGCAGAGCGACAGGGTGAGCTGTCCAGGACGGGTCAACCCAATACTCAGCCTCAGCAAAGTCAGCTTCTGAGGAGGAAAAAACAGCACACAAAGCCGTTTAGCTGTTTGGGGCCGAATAACGTAGTTAGGCGAAGGGTAGTCGAAACGAACGCAGAGCACGGTTTCGGGGCGCTGCTGTAAAAGTTTGTCGAGCTCGTTTGGTGACTGGAACAAATCGTACAAGTGGCGCTAAAGTCGCTACTTGAGTCGTGCTCGGCGATGGAGTGACGTTTTATGATCGTACGTTTCATTAGCGTAGCTTATGGGGGATTGTAAATTGACTGCGAAGAAAAATTGATGCGCATTTATAAATATTTCGCGAAGGATCAAGCCAATCAATATGCTTTTCATATCGTCATTCTACCGTATTTATTTTAGGTGTAAACTTTGCTGTAAAAAATGCGAACCGATGTTAGTTAGATGCAACACCTATCGTAAGCAATATGAATGAAATAATAAATGAACATTGTAGTAAATCATAAATACAGAATATATCTGGAATATGGCAACATCAGCTTGTCGTTATTTCAGTGAAATCTTTTACAGTTCGGGTAGCTTTTGTCTCGTTCCATGAGCGTCACTCAGCGCTCATCTCAGCCGCCCATAGTGTCGCCTCGCAATCACGACCGAATCGCAATCGATGTCGAGAATCCTTCGAACTCCGTGAAAAGATGTGAAGTGGGCGACTCGATCTCTCGAACGTGGTGGAGGACGGCCGAGAGAGGCTCTTTCCTGGAAGGATCGTGCTCAACAGGTGCCTGGGCATTGGAGGCTTGGAGAAATGTTCCCAGAAATGGTGCACTCGCTGTAAAAATTGTAGTTGAGTGGTGGATATGAAATATGAGATACGGACAGTGCTGGCAAAATGTGTGGGCTCAGAAGTCTGCAGTATTTGTGATTTTTTATTTTTGAGGAAATGGTAGTTTTGTATT